CGCGCAGCTCGAGGCGGCAGCGCAGGCGCACGCAGCGGCGGGGGCCGGGGGCCCCGAGTCGGCAGCATCTGCAGCGGGGGCGGCGGCGGACGGCCCCGACAGCGGGGCGGCGCTGCTCTGCGCCACCCACGGCGCGCCGCTTCTCGAGTCCTTAGCAGAAGGCGCCCCCGAGTGGGCCCCGGGCTCGCCAGCCCTGCTGGCCTTTGGCGCGCTGCTGCGCACCGCGCCGCCGCAGCGCCTCGCAGCACTGCTGCCCCGCGCGTTCGATGCCATCGGACCCATCGTAGGCGGCGCCGACGCCGACCCCGGCCTGCGGCTCGCGCTGCTGCGGCTGCTGGACGACCTGCTCGAGGGGGAATCCACGGGCGCCGCCTTCCTCGCGCCCGGCGCCGCGACCGCCGCGCTGACGCGCCTGATTATGCCGCCGCTCGCGTGGCGCGCCGGCAAAGTGGCGGCGGCGGTGCGGTTCCAGGCGGTCACAGCGCTCGCGACGCTCGTGCGGCGGCGGCTGGCGGACGAGGGCGCGCTGCGCGCCGCCTCGGATGCGGGGCTGCTGCCACTGCTGCACCAGGTGGGTGCGGGATGCTCACCGCGCGCGCCCCCGTCACCCCCGGGCCATTGCGCAAGCAGGGGCGCCGCCCTCAGGCTCCTATTTGTTGGGAGGTTCAGCTGCCGCCTGTCCACACCGCCTGAACACCCAAAGCCGAGCCGCCCACCGCCCGTTTCAAACCCCCTCTTTAGCACCCCCACCCCAAGTCCCCTCCTCCCGCTTTTGGTACCCACTCTGCACCTATTCACCCTTCACTTGTCCCTGGCCCCCTCCCACCGCACACCCCCCACCCACCCAACCCTACAAAAATTGGTTTGTTAGTGCCTTGACGAGGACTGGTACCCGGACGTGCGCCTGGCGGCCGCGGCGGTGGAGGGCGCGCTGCTGGGCGCCGTCGGCGGCGGCCTGTCGGACGAGCAGCGGCGCGCGGCGTACGGCGAGCTGCTCAAACGGCTGGACGACAGCAGCAACCAGGTTGGGATGGGGGCGCGGGGCTGCTTGATTGAGCAACAGACTTGCCTCTGCCCTGGGAAGTGGCAGCTGCCAGGCGCTCAGAATGGTGCTGTCTTGGGTTTGGGTGTTTTTTGGGGGTATCAGCAGGCAGGTATGAGGGTTAGTCAATGCTGAGCCGCACACCTTCCCCTCAACCTGCTGCCCGCACGTCCGCCCACGCTGCCCCTTTTGTAGGTCCGCATCGCCGCGTGCGCGGCGCTCGCGGCGCTCGCGGCGTCGCTGCCGCCCTCCTACTGCGACACCAACGCCGGGTACCTCGCGGCCGGGTTAGTCATCCACATGGACGACTCGGACCCCGCGGTGCAGGAGGCGGCGGCGGCTGCGCTCGAGGCTCTGGCCGCGGTCAAGCCGGGGCCGGTGGCGGGGGAGGTGTGGCGGGCGCGCGAGCGGTTCCGGGCGAAGCACTACTGCGACCGCGTGCTGGCGGCGTGCAGCAGCAGCAGCGGCGACGGCGGCGGCACTGCGTCCTAATGGTGTTTTTGGAGTGCCCCAGCGCCTGCGCAGCAGCCTGTGCTGTAACAAACGTGTTTATAGATGTCGAAGCTTGCTTCTTGAGGTTAGACAGTTGTTGGGATCCATCCATGAGGGGTGACAAGCCGGCCTCTCGAGTGCAGACGGGGTCGCCTGCCGCCAGGGTAGCAAAGCGGGATAGCCAAGGGGCCTCCTGGTCATCGCAACATGATGCATGATGGTTGTCCGTTTTAAGCACTAAAATAAAAGTATACCTCACTACCTTGGAGTCGTAGTCGGCCGTCACCGTCTCACCGGGGATCAAAGAAGCAAGTGTGCCGCAAGCAGCGGAGTGCACAAAGCGAGTGGGGTATCCCTGCCCGTACCCGTTCCACCGGAACTCATATCACAAAATCACCTGAGCGCGAAGGCGAGGTGATCAGAGCAGCAGAGGGATCTGAGTTCAGGCCACAGTAAGGTGTAGCCAAGGGACAAGGACCATCAGTGCGTGTCCGTGTGCGCGCAGAGGAGTCCCCGGCGACGGTGAGGCAAAGGGCCGGAGAGGTGGCGGTTGTCGTTGAAGGCAAGCTGGGGGAGGCCGGGAGGTGTGGATGAGTCAGGACGCAGGGGCTGTAGGGACGTGTCCGCGTGCGTGTTGATTATAAAAAACATTCAAACCCAGGAAAGGGCGGGCTGACATAAGCAGCTCTCCACCCGGTGCGCAGCAAGGGCAAATGCAAGAGTGTACTGGCGGGGCAGGCGGGTGCAAGCACGGCAGCGCGCGGCAGTTCAGCCGCAGTGGCGGAGCATGCGCCGCGATCGCGTGATGCTTAGTCTGGGAGGATGATGGCGGGAGACCTCAGCCGTCTGTGCCATCCTGCTCCACATAGGTCTTGGAAGTGACGGCGCGACGGTGGCGGGGCCACCCCAGCAGTTGAATAGTACCGTAGGAGACGTAGACATGGCAGGGATACCCCGTGCGGCAAGCATGCGAGTGCATATAGGGTATTGTATACAACAGACCAATGGGACGAAGCCCAGGACAAGCCATCCCCCCACACTACAGAAGGACTGATCCCCCCACACTAAGTGAAGCCATCCCCCCACACTAAGTACATGTACACCATCAAGTACTGGTATGACAGTGTGCCAGCCACAGCATGAGTCATCAGGCCATATCTCCACGACCTGTGTGCTGTGCGCTTGGCAGGTACCGCTGCTCGCCTCGTGCCGCACACGTGCATGCGCGTGCCCTGACAGTGCCAATTCAATTCCGTGTAGGCAGTTTCGCCAGTTTTGTGTTTGTATATGCAGGCAGTACAGCCAGCAGAGGGTGATCTGTTGTTCTGATCTTGCAGTGTTGCTTCTAAAGTGCACTACCGTGATCGATTGTCTGCAATAAGAGCTTGGGAGATCATACTTGCCGCAGCAACGATGGCAGTGGTGGTCCTCCTCGCGCTGGTTGTGCTGATGGCTGCAGGGATCGCTGCAGTGGCAATGTACGCGCTAAAACTGCAGCGAGAGGGTCAGGCTGGCCAGCCAACAGCAGCCGTCGATGCGGGGGACGACGCAGCGGCGCCGCGGGTGAGCGCACGCGGTCTGGTTCCTGTGCACCGCTGTGCTGTGATGCGCGCACACGCGCGTGCATCCAAGCGCCCTCCGCTCGCTGCTTACAGAGAAAAGAAACCCCTGTGCCTTTCGAGCGCAGGCTGGGCGGCGAGGCGGCATGGATCGCATGCGGGCGGGGCGGCTGAGGCAGCGGCGCGCAGCACAGCAGGCGGCAGAAGCAGACGGCTCCGACGATGACGAGGATGATGAGGTGCGGAGGGGAAGGGAGAGGGGGAAGTCTGCTCCGCCACGCTCGTCCATCGTGCACGGGAGCAGTTGCCGCGCGCCGGCCAGTCAGCAGCACCGCCGCGTCGTCCGCTTCAAAGCCCTGCAACGCCCCTCTGGCCTCGCAGACCGCCGCACTGTCCGCCGTGCCAACCCCCTCCATACGAAGCAACCCGCCGGCCCCGCCAACCCGACCCTGCAGGACGGCGCTGATGGCCCAGAGGGGCGCCGCGAGGCGCGCCGCCGCGAGCGCGAGGAGGCGCGCGAGGCGGAGCGGCTGGCGCGTGAGGCGAAGGCCAACAAAGTCAATGTGTACGAGGAGCGGCGCAAGAAGCGGGACGAGGAGCGCGAGGCGCTGGAGCGCGCGCAGGTGCGCGCCTGGGGTCCGTGCGCGCCAGGGAGGGGGTGTGGCGGTCAGCCGGCCGGCCGGCCGGCGCACAGCAGCGCCCGTGAGGCTGGCGGGGGCGCGCGCGCCGCTTGTGTCGCCCTGCGGCTCCAAATCGCGCCGAGGTGTCGCCCGGCGAGCGGCCCGGGTCATCGCGGCTCCTTGCTTGGCGGTTGAAGGGCTCAGGTCTCCCGCAGGTCTCCCGTAGTTGCCCCAACCACCTTGATTTCACGCCGCGCGGGCTCTTTTCGCTGTGCAACACGCAGGAGGACGAGATCCGGCGCGCGGCGGAGGAGCGGCAGCGGCGGGAAGACGAGGAGGCGGCCAAGTGGCTGGGGCAGATCAGCGTTGAGGAGGCGGGGGTGGACGCGGAGGACGGCGGCGAGGGGGGGGAGGCGGCGGCGGCGCGGTTTGTGGCGTACATACAGGAGCGGAAGATGGTGGCTATAGAAGAGGTGGGGACGCATGCGAGTGTGTATGTCTGTGTGTATGTGTACGTGTATGTGTATCAGTATGTGTGTGTGTGTGTTATGTGTTAGGTGGAATGTTTGTACTGTATGAGCCGTAATGCGAAGGTGGTGCAGCACGACACCGGCTGGGGGGTGGCAGCTGGCCCAGCGCGCTAGGCTGAGGCCAGCAGCGACGCCGATGCGGCAGCAATCAAAATGCGAGCACGGTCGTCCTGTACATTCACAAGCCGCCGATGCAGGTGCCTTGTGGCACTTGTGAACCCTCCACAAGAATAGAACATAGTCATTCACAAGAACACGTGTCAATAAAGTTTCCCCCAGACAACGCCCTCCACCCTGCCCCCGTTGCCGCCCTCTCCCCAGCACCCCTCTCAGTGCCTGCACCCCTGCACTCTCACCCCACTCCCCACCCCCAGCTCGCGACCGAGTTCCGGCTGCGCAGCGCCGAGGTGGTGGAGCGGCTGCAGTCCCTGGAGGCGCAGGGCCAGCTGACCGGCGTCATGGACGAGCGCGGGAAGTTCATACACATATCCACGGACGAGATGCGCGCGGTCGCGGACTTCATACGGCGGCGGGGGCGCGTGGCCATAGGGGAGCTCGCCGCGAAGAGCGGTGGGTGTCGCAGGGCACGCGCGGGCAGCTGGTTTTGGAGGGGAGCGCGCGCTGGGGACCCTGATGATGCGCGGTACTGCACGCGGGGTCCCCGCGGGGGTGGCTCGAGGTGTGGCGCGAGCCCGGGGTCGTCGCGGGGAACGCCGCCCTCTGCCGCCGCAACCGACCGGTCGCGAGCGGATGGCGGCCTGCTGAACTGCCTTTCACCGCTTGTCAATCCGATTTTTGGATGCAGGGGACTTCATCGACCTTCAGCCGCGGTCGGCAGGCGCAGCGGCGGCGGGAGCAGGCGCGGACCTGCTTGACTTTGACAGCATGGTCGCGGCGCACTGACGAGCTACTGTTTTCAAGGCTCAGCCTTGACTTGACAAAAGGCAGTTGTAACAACATGTTATTCAGGATCCTTGAACCCCATGGTGTCTCCCGGGCAGAATGATGAAGCCTGCGCCCGCCCCATGCCGTCGGAGGAACCCCCCGGGCGCGCAACGAGCAGCTGCAGCAGCAGCGGTGCCGCACACGCTCTCCCTGTCCTGGACGCGCAGAAGTTGATAGAGCTGTGTAGTGCGCTATTGCACGCTTGATTGTCAAATCTCGCGGCTTTGATAGTTTGTGGGGGCGTTGATCTCAGTGTCGCGGTCGCAGCCCGTCCGTCCAGCATGCAGCTCGCTCGCATTAACCATGGAGCGGTGCTCCCGGCTCGCCGTCAGCGGCTTTCTGGCGCTCAGCCCGTGCGTGGCCTGCGCAGTGTGCTGTCGAGGGCCGTGGAGCAGAGGGATAGCACCCCTCCCGTCTTGCTGTCCGGTGAGAGTTACTGTTTATCATGTCGGCAGCAATGCGCTCTTAGGCGGAAGTGTGTGCTTCCCCGCGATGGCCGCAACGAGAGGTGTGGCACCACGACAGCCCAGGACGGAGCTCTAAGCAGCAGCGTCTCGACGATTTAGTCTAGAGGCGTTCATCGTCATCCATCACGCGCGTCCCGATGCGCGCGCGCCGCGCACAGGCGAGGAGACTGACACTGGTGAGGACCACCTTGCCGCCGACTACTGCTCTATTGACTCGGCGGGCAAGCGCGTCAAGAGGGGCACCCGCAGGTGCGATCCGCAGCGGTGGTCACACTCTGTACGTGTGGCCGTGGCTGGTGCTGTGCGACCCGCGGGGCACACGGACACTCGGCACAGTTGCTGTCGCTGAAGTTGCGTCGCGGCCGGCATGGGGCAAGCCTCGCGCATGGGGGCAGCTGTCGCGCCGGGCTCTCCCCTCGCCGCAGGAGCACCCACTCGGCGTCCACTTGCCACACGCGAATTGCCGCGGCGACACACGTCCGCCCAGCCCGCACCTGCCTGCACGACCCGCCCCCGCCTCCGCACCCCAACCCACCACCTCGACCCGCGCCGCCCGGCGCCGCCCGGCCCCGCCCACGAACTGCCCCACCCCCTCGTCAGCCTGGGCGAGATGGAGCAGGAGTTCCTCGACGCCATGAGCGCCTACTACTTCGACGGCAAGGCCGCGATCAGCGACGCCGAGTTTGATCTCCTCAAGGAGGAGCTGCTGTGGGCCGGCAGCAAGGTGGTCGTCCTCGACTCCGACGAGCAGCGCTTCCTCGAGGCTGTGCGCTCCTGGGGCTCCGGCAACGCGATCATGTCGGACGAGGAGTTTGATGCTCTGCGCAACGAGCTCCGCACCAAGGGCAGCGTCGTCGCCGCGCAGGGCCCCCGCTGCAGCCTGAGGTCCAAGAAGATGTACGCGGACGCGTCGCCCGACTACTTCCGCATGACCGCGCTCAACGCGCCGGCAGCGCTGCTGGTGCTGGGGCTTTTCTTCAGCATCGATGACCTGACGGGCTTCGAGATCACCAGCCTGCTTGAGCTGCCGCCGCCGTACGGCATCGTGGCACTGTGGGGGCTCGTGCTGCCGGTGCTCTACCTGCTGTCCTCGTCGATCACTAACCTCGTGCTGCGCGACGGGCTCATCCTCAGGGGGTGAGGGGGCGGGGCCGCCTCCCTTTGATGGTAGAGAGGAGAGCGCTGCACGACAGTTGGCCATGGCGGCGGCCGGGTTTGCAGGAGGCAGGGCTTGGCAAGGGGCCCGGGGAAGGGGCCAGGTGGCCGCCACTGCGCGGGAGGGTGGGAACGCACTTGGCAGTTGGCGCTGTGTGGGGTTGGCGGACCAGTCGTGCGCAGGTGATGGCAAATTTCCCCAGCAACCGCTCTCTCTCATCCACTCATCACTCATCTGCACCTTGCACCCCCCCCCCCTCCCTTGCTTCCCACAGCCCGTGCCCTTGCTGCGGTACCGAGTGAGCCTGCGGGGGGCCTTTATGGGACAAACAAGGACTCTGCTAATAAATCTTTCCTCTTGAATCTTCAGCTCAGCTTGTCCCGCCTGACTCAGCTTGTTGTTGCGCGACCAGGCACGCCCAAAACTGACCCCCACCACCTTCTGCGTTCTTCCCGCCCGTCCTTTGCGGTCCTCCCACTCTCTCCAGCAACTACACTTACTTCGGTGCGCGCAGGGCTTGGGGATGGCTGTGTTGCATGCCGCGCCCATGAAGGCATTGTCTAGGGGGGGGCGACCCAGCTCCGGAACGCAGACCTGGTCGTCACTGGCAGTCGGTGCTCCAGCACAGAGCACGGTTTCCGCGGCAGCTGCAACGTGACCGCCGCCCGCCTCTGCATCCCCCCCCCTCCAGGCGACATCTTTGTCGTGCCCGGCAGCCGCGGCGCCAACACCCTGGAGTGCTCCAACCAGGCCTGCCGCGCCGACCTGACCTTTGACTACAACAAGGTGTGTGAGGAGGGGCCCGGTTGGAAGGGACGCGCACTCCCGGGTCGAGCGGAGGAGGCGGGGCCGGGGAGGGAGGCGGCAGCGCTGGTGCAACTCGCACCAAGGCAGACGCGGCAGCGGCCATGCGGTTGCCGTCACTCACATGGGCATTCTCGTGCTGTCGTGCGGTGGCTTTGTGCGCAGAGGATCCTGGTGGTGGACCGCACCCCTGAGGACAAGGCGGAGGAGCTGGCCGCCGCCGCTGCCAAGAAGGTAGGCGGGGGATCTTGGGAGGGGTGGAGGGGCGCGCAGGGCTCGGACTCAGCCCGCGGTGGCCCAAATGTGTGGCTGCGGCTGTGCCTTGCACGATGGAAAATGCCTTTTCGCGAACAGCGCCCTGACTTTGTGCACTCACGCCTGCATGCACCACTCGGTTGCCAGGCCGCGGCGGCCGCCAAGAAGGCGGCGATGGCGGCCAAGAAGGCGGCTGCGGCAAACAAGGACAGCGCTTGAGGGTTGCACCTGTGAAACGCATTATCTGCCACGACCACCGCCAGCTGTGGAGCCCGTGGCAGCGCGTGCATGTGCGGCGTCCTCCTGGCACGAGAGATGGCTTACTCGAGGGTGGTGGAAAGCGCGGCGCTGCCAAGCGCCGTCTCGGACCAGCTTGGCGGCCCTGGTTGCGCAGGCGCCCGACCAGTGTGCTGTTCTGTCACAGGCCCGGCCCCGCCGTCGTCGGACGATTTGTGTGTGTTGCTGGCTCCAGAGCTTGGTGTTGATCTCGACCCGTCCCCTCGCCAGCCGCTGGTGCACTGCGGGGCGTGAGGAGGACCATATGCGCCGCGCGGCGTTGGGATTCCGACGCCCCGCGCCCGCCCCCCCTTCCCGGCCCGCTGGGACGGGCGCCTGCGCAGCGGCTATATTTGAGAGCCTGTAATAACATTGTGCGGCGGAAGGCGGCGTAGAGGGTGGGGTGGCAAGCGGCAAGCACTCTGCGGTCGTCCAGTCTGCCGGCGCACCACCGCACTCGGGTCCGTGGCCACGCAGTCGTCAGGGCATTGACCAGGTGTGTTGACCAGCGCATGTGGCGCAAGCTGAATTCACTGGCAAGCAGCTGGTGCGTGCCTTGCATACACTGGGCCCCTTGGCAGCATTGCGCTCATGGCTTTTATCTGTGAAGGGGAACCCATGGGGTGAGGTCCTACCTGAGCCTGGCTCGGGGGAGTGAGGACCCGATGGCAGCGATCTCAGGATGAAGCAACTGCCACAGCAGCTGCCCACAGAAAACCCCTCCCGCTACAATCCGGATGGATAGGCAGACGAGCAAGGCATATCTTGCGCCATGGACCTTGTGCGAAGCACATGCGCATACTTGAATTTGCAGCACCCCCCCCCAGAACTTGTCAGGGATTTGCTGATCAGACACCTCAACGGTGATCTACTCAGAACCTTTCCGCACTATTAGCAGCAGTGACACGCCAAGGGCGACCCCCTGCTGCGATGGAGCTGCAGGAGGGATGGGACACGAGCAAGGAGAATTTTGCGCCTATGAGGGCTGGTAGGCAGGCCCACGAGCTGCAGAAAACACCCTTAGCGTCATCTAAGACCCCAGACAGCGAGCTGGAGGAGCAACGAAGGTGTGTGGGGTCACGGGCTGCGCGTTGTGAGCTCTGCTGCCTGCGTGGATCTTCAATCGCGTCCGCCCTTTACACAGAAACCACCTGGCAGCGATCGGAGAAGCGCAGGACGACCCACTTCCGGCTTGGCTGAGGTGCGCGGGCCACCTACGCGGGCGGCAACGTTTGGTGCAGGTGCCGCACAGCATACGCACGACAACGCGCGCCGGGACCAGTTCCACCCAGGCCCTCGCCACAATACTCCAATCAACGACCCGCGCCGCCGGCATGCATGCGTGCACAGGTATGTGAAATGGACCCAGGAGTCGTTCCCAGCGTCGGGCGGCAAGGAGCAGCTGCTGAAGGCCCTTGAGGCCGCCACCAAGGCGATGGCCGGCTGCGAGCGATACTACGATGATCCCCGCCTGCTGAGGCTCTGGATCCAATACGTGAGCTCCGCCGCCGCATTCGCGGCGCCCGTGCAAGGACCACGGCGCTTCTCGCGCACGGCGCACGCGCAACCGCCGGCCGCCTGCTGTGCGTCGACGCCCCCCCAAGCCCAGCCGCCTGCCCTGCCCCAAACCTCTGCCCGCCGCCCCTGCAGGCCGACTGCCTGCCGGACCCCAGCGACGTGTTTTTGTTCCTCCAGGTGCGCTTCCCACGCGTGGCGCCTGGTGCCCGCTGCCGCCCTCTGCCCCTCATCCTCACACCCCCAGCTCCCCTCCCGCCCTCCCTTCCCAATCACCTCGCCGTGCCCGCCCCTCCCCACCATACACACATACACACACACACACATACACACACACACGCACATACACGCACACCAGGACCGGGGCATCGGGCGCGATCTGGCGCTGCTCTATGAGGCCTACGCCACGTTCCTGGAGCTCAAGGGCGCGTTCCCCCGCGCCGACCTCGTCTACCAAAGCGGCATCGACAGGTGCGTGCTGGACGGGCCGCCGAGCTAGCAGCCGCAGGGGCACCTCGCAGCAAGGGGACTCCTCGGCGGAGAGGGCAAGGGGCGCAGGGCGAGAGGCCGCCCGCCGCTGGCTGTGCGGCCAAGCGCTGTCGCCTGCCCTGCGGCCGCCGTGCCATCGCTGCCGTGCACCGACCCCCATGCAGGCTGGCCAAGCCGCTGGAGCGGCTCAAGCAGAAGCACGCCGGCTTCCAGCAGCGCATGGTGGGGGCGCGCGGCGGGCCGAGGCGTTCTCGAGGGTCCCATGTTGCTGGGGGGTTGCCGTCCGGCTTCTTGGGATGTGCACGCATCAGCGGGCAGCCGGTGCTGGGCTGAGCCCTGTACGAGTGCAGAGGTTGCCTGAGCGCCAGTTTTCTATCTACCGGCTGAACGCGCCGCCTGCTTGTGCCCGCGCCCGTCGACGCAGGCGAGGCGCCTGCAGCGGCAGGCACAGGAGGAGGCACTCGGCATGGCGCCCGGCGGCGGCGGCGGCGGCGGCGGCGGCGGCGGCGGCGGCGACGCGGGGCGGTCGGCGCTCAGCGACCTGCGGAGCCTGGCGCGGGAGGCCGAGTTTGACGAGAACGGGCGCCCCGCGCGGCGCCGCCCGCGTGCCGGCACCGCCGCCGCCCTGCTGCAGCCGCTTCCGCGGTCGGCGGTCACGGGCGTCTCCGGCCGCGCGGCGCGGCCGCCGCCCAACCCCTCGGC